GATATTACTTATATATATATATATATATATATATTTGTTTTGTTAATATTTTAATTTAAATACAAATGTATTTAATTGTGGTAACTATTTTTAAAAGAGAAATTTACGTGCATATCAGAATGCTTGTGTTTTCATATCTAACACTCAAAGTTTGGGAGTCATGGGCGGGCTCTAAAATCCATTATAGAGAGAGAAAGAGAAAGAGAGAGAGAGAGAGAGAGAGAGGGGGAGGAGGAGGAGGAGCTCCCTCAAAGTATGGGTTTATTTTTAGAGCCAAAAAGCCCCATTACAAATATTAGAGCCTCTATTTATAGAATATTAAGATAGAAATTACATTTATGACCCTGCTTTGATGAGGTGACCACAAGATAGTTTGATATTTTCATATTTGATACTCGCTATTGGCATCCTTTGATATTTTTCAATTCTTTGCCCCATTGATTTATCAGATGGTGTCATTTAGTCAATCCATAACCTTTGTGGTTTAGAAGATGTTAAGTTTGAGCGTTGCAGGCAGTCGAGTCTGAATGGTCTGCCAAGGATGGCCAGCAGATTATTCATGGATAGTTGGTCTAAGATGACCGACCGATTACCTGAGGAGATGGCCGACCATAGATGGCCGGTCGGCCTCTTGTTGACTCCCAACCAAATTGGTAGGCTTACCAGAATGTCGGGCTCCAGCTAGTTGGTTGAAGAGTCATATGCCTGCACATTTTAGCAAATAAAATTAGAAAAATATTACATAAATATTACCCACTCAGCAATTATAGAAATGTACAAAGTACAAAGAAGAAAAAAAGCGGATATCATTATCATTTTTTTCTTCTATTTTCATTTTCTAACTTAATTTCATTGTTCACTAAAAATTAAAAAAAAAATTGTCGTGTGAACCATCTTTTAACAAAGCCAAACACTTTTGTTCAGGCACAATCCCAAAATCACTTAAAACGTCTTTATTATTAAAGCATGTCAAAAGGTTCGCGACAATAGAGCAATAATTTAGCGTTTTAGCATTACACAAAAATCCAGCACACACAAATAAATAAATGAGAAATAAACAAGAGGAGACACCTTGATTTTTAGGTGGAAACCCTCTAAAAGGGGAAAAAGCCATCCAGTCTAGCCTAATTGAAATAATCAACTATAAATGATTAGTACATAAATCCACTCATCTCCTAACTTAGGGAAAATGGAGTTATAAAAGTGATAATTGTAAATGTGCAATAATAATTCATCGATAATAAACATACTTTAACTGTAATAAATGTAGTTCTCAGTGATAGTAGACTTAAAATGCCATGGTCGATTGTTATGGAGGTAGTAGTCCACTGTGACTATTATGAACAGTGATTGTAGCACCAACTTATCGTATAGGCCACAGTTGAAAGTCATGGTATTAGTTAGCCATGTGAGCCGCTAATGGTTGTTTCAGGTGTGTTGATTGGCCACAGAAGTTGTATTAGGAAGCTATGGAGTTGGAAGTCACTTAAGTTGTATTTAGTCATAAAGACTGGTGGTGAGTAGACATGACGTTATAGTCCTCATGGGTCGATTTGGGAGCTGCACGAGACATGACAATGTCCATAGACGGAAGCTGAAATCAAGAGTTGTACGTGCTGAGAGAACGTTCATAAAGGGTCACCTATGTGTGGCGCACTCTTCGATGTACCCTCCTGCTCTGTTCTGGGTGTTTTTTATTAGGAACGTTCATAAAGGGTCACCTATGTGTGGTGCGTTTTTGCGCAATCTTCGAGGTACCCTCCTGCTCTGTTCTGGGTGTTTTTTATTAGACCATCATCTAGACTTGTTTTTACACTGTTTTCAAGGTGTGTTGTAGTTCTACAACGTACGGTGCAATGTCGTAATGCATGTTGTAATTCTGTAAAAAGCTTTGTTGCAAGGAGCAAGTGTTGATTGATGGTAGTTGATGAGCTGTGGCCGACAATGGTTAGTGGCTATAGAAGAGGGAAGCGTTAGTCGGAGCTTTAGTGCATAAACGATAATGTGCTTTAGCTCCTTCTCTCAATACTTCTTCTGATGCAACTCTCGGTCCAGGTCCCCTCTTAAGGAGGGGGTATGATTCTATTTATAAAGCCTGTGAGAGACTTCCTTGCAACTAAGAAATCTGGACCATTCCATGAGACGATTTGGAGAAGTTCCCTCGATCAGATGGTGTTTGATGGACATCTGAAGGCCTTAATGATGTCACAATTGAGTGACCTTGAGCTTGTTGGATTCGTCTTGCCAAGACGCTCAATTTAACTATAAGTCTGTCAAATTAAAATCTGTTGGACTTGCTAATTATACACTGAAGCTCAAAAGTGGTTTAACGACTTGAACTGCATTTGATTTAACTTGGATTAGACAAACTTGATATCATTGTGTCAGCCTCATCGAGTCAGTCAGTCAGATTAAAAGAAATAAAAGTTTTAGATGATTTTTAATTGAAATTTGAATATTACTTGCTCAAAAAGTTCTCGAGAATCGTCTGAAAATAGAAATTTATTGATGACTTACCAATTTTAAACCCACCGAACAAATAATAAGAATCTTAAGTGATAATATTCTTACTAAATATCTAATTAAAATATAATTATTTTATAATTTCAAAGTCATAACACTAATTCAAGATCTGCATATATATATCCACGCCATCTTAAGCATTAACAATCCATCCTCCAAAACAACAACAAAAAAAGGTTTAGAGAAAATTCTTTATCCAAGAGACCATGGATATCCAACAGCACCACCCATCTCCAATCCATTCCACCAACACCACCACCACCACCACTTTCACCGAACCAACCAAACCCATAAAATCCAAACGCCTCCTTCTCTTCTTCAACATCCTCCTCCTCCTCATCGGCGGCAGCGGTAACCCCCTCATCCTCCGGGTCTACTACCTCCACGGTGGAAACCATAAATGGTTCACCTCTTTCCTTCAATCCACCGGCTTTCCTTTCCTCCTCATACCCCTCCTCTTCTCCTTCTTCCGCTCTCCCCGCCGCCAGTTCTTCCGCATCTCCCCTTTCCTCCTCCTATGTTCCACCTTCATCGGCCTCTTAACCGGAATGGACAACTTTTTCTTCTCCTACGGCGTATCTTACCTCCCCGTCTCCACTTCCTCCCTCCTCATCTCCACCCAACTCGCCTTCACCGCCATCTTCGCCTACTTCATCGTTAAGCAAAAGTTCAGGGCTTCGTCAATAAACGCGGTGGCTTTACTGACGTTTAGTGCGGCGGTGCTCGGCGTGCACGCTAATGGCGATCGACCGGAAGGAGAATCGAATACTAAGTACTATATGGGGTTTGTTATGACGCTCGCCGCGGCGGTAATGTATGGGCTGATGTTGCCATTGGTGGAGCTTATGTACGCTAAGTCTAAGATGAAGATTGGTTATACGTTGGTGATAGAGATACAGTTTGTGATTGGGGTCATCGCCACTGCTTTCTGCGCCGTCGGGATGGCGGTCAGCAAGGATTTTCAGGTGATCTTTCCTTACTCTTTAGTCCGGTCAGAAAGTAATTAATTTATTCGTATAACACATCCCACTCTTTTATATTTACAAATTTAACAGCTAAATTTTACTTTACATTTATACCACCAAAATCTTTCAGATTAAGCCAAAGAGTATGCATTTCACTTGATGAAAAAAGTAAAGCACAACTTCATCTGTATGAATTGACGGGCAAGTAAAAATTAAAATTAATGTGCTAAATATGTAAATAGATAGAAATTAGTGGTTTGTATGCGAGGCTTCAGTCATTCTTTTAAGGTTAGTACGAGTTGATCATATGCAATTTAGGATATAGATATGAAGGAATAATTAAATAGTAAGGCATAATTACCTATTAGTTACAGTTGTGCGACAATTTGTATTTTGACCAGAGATTGGTAATTATGTGAGTGTCATGTCACAGACAAAAAGTCTCACATCTGCTAGGTGTAGGGCAGAAAAAATAATATTTAAGTCCTGAGCTGCCCACCACACTGAAGAGCTCTTTTGAAAAGTGACAAGTGGTATCAGAGCAGATTACCGAAATAATATTTAAGTCCTGAGCTGCCCACCACACTGAAGAGCTCTTTTGAAAAGTGACAAGTGGTATCTGAGGGCGTCAGGTGATTAGGTGAAGGAGAATGTCACGGACAAAAAGTCTCACATCGGCTAGTTGTTGGGCCGAAAAAGCAGTATTTAAGTCTTGGGTTGTCCATCACCCCGAAAACCTCTTTTGAGAGGTGAGAGTTAGCTAGCGGAATGCCGCCAATCGACTACCATGTGGAGATGGCTAAACTAAAATTGGTCTGTCAAATATATACATAAAAATATTTATAAATTCAATTATTATAAAGTTATATAAATAAAAAACTATGACGAAACGGATGATAAGTATTATGATGCACGAATAACATTGATGCAAAGTATATTTAAAGATATTAAAGCTTAAGTTTAATGTTAAAGCTAATTGTGTCCGTAAATCACATTTCAACAGAATAGAGCATAAGAAAGGAAATAGAGAGAGAGAGAGAGAGAGTACACATTAATGAACAAGAAAACAACTTTTCGATCACTCTTTTCTCATAAAATGATCTCACTAATTATAAGAAAAAAATGTATAATATAGTGATATTATAATTTTGTCTTTTCTTTGATGGGGGTCGTTACAGGATATTTTAGGTATTTTATATGAGTGAGCTAATTGCTCTTCTTATGACTTGGCGAGCTGGTCTAGCATGACTTTGTCTCATTAAGGTCGGCTTGGTTGGCTACGTTAATACAAGACAGTTAGTTGGCTGAACTTGATTAGCATTGAGTTGATGGGATTGAAGTGATCAACTAGGCTAGCTTTGTCATCTAGTATGGCTATTGATCATCGATCTTTAGATGAGTAGCTCCTGTCGAAAGAATGAGGTCTGACTATCGAGTAGAGGGTGAATCACTATAACCCGATAGATAACTCATTCCTTGGCGTGGGAGTCCTTTGGGAAAATTATAAGGCTCTATGGTATTATCAATTTTTGATCCCTGATCAAGAAACTCAAGGGAATTCGCGGGATGACTGATGATAGCGAGAAACTGGATTCATTTTTCGGGTCATATCAACCAAAAGGTAGGACAATGCCTTTAACTAGCGCATCATTCGTCAGTATGATGCTAGCGAGTAATTGTAAATTTTTTAAGCATTTTGAAAGTTTATGTTAACTACTTTTTATTTTGTTTGAGTGTTTTGCTTTTAACTAGCACATCATTTACATACACTTCAATATATTTCTTTTTTTGCTTAGAAATAATTACATCAATCATTCGTTGATATGTAGCCCCAGCATTTTAAAGCTCAATTTGAATTACATTGTAATACATTAATCCAAAGTAGAGGGTAGTTGTCCTTTAGGCAGGCAATGTTCAGATTGTTGAAGTCCGCATATATCCTACACTTGCCATTTGCTTTTTGCACCATGACTACATTCAACACCTATGTTGGATACTAGACTTCTCGTATACAGCCAGCCTCCAACAGCTCTTGAACTTTCTCTCTGATTTGCTTTGTTAAGTTGACAACTGAGAACATCATCTTGTGAGATTGCTCTGGGTTTCCTCAGGCAGTGATCACTTCTTTGTTTACTGAAATCTTTACTGCTACATGGTATGTAGAGATAATAGCTTTGAAGTTGTTGAGCAGAGGGCGGTCGAAAATGACTTTATAAGTTGGTAATGAGTCAAACACTATGAAGTCCTCCATATTTGTGAATTGTTTATCATTTTCCCCCCAGGTAATTGTTAGGTTGATAGTTCTCAAGACTTCCTTCGTCTCACTAGGTAAGGCAGAGTGGGTCTGCTATTGTAGTTAGCCAGTCATTTCCAAGATTCAGCTTATCAAACACTAATTTAAATAGAATATTTATTGAGTTTCCAATGTTAATAAGTATGCTAATGATCTGATGGTTCCTACTTAGTGTCGCGACAACGATGACGTCCTTATAACGATTCTCCTTGAATGGATGATCTACATTAGTGGAGTGATGGTGAATACACATTGTTCTCTCGATCGGAGCCTCTCATATTAGCCCGGCCGGATGAATCTCCTCCACCTCTATAAATGGTGGGAGCTATACCAACAATATAGATGGTGTGGGTTTGGACAAGCTCGTCCGAAATTTCCTCCATTGAAGCTTTTCTTTGTCTCCGGGTCTTCGCCCCTACATCTTCAAACTCTTTCAATTTTCCAGCTCTGATCAACTCCTCGACCAAGCTGCATAGGTGTTGGCATTCCTCCCTATCATAACCATGGTCTCAGTGGCGTGCGTCGTACTTCTTTAAGTCCTAGAGATAAGCTCCCATCTTTATGAGTTGTGTTGCTATTTAAGCTTATACTCATTAGACTAATAAAAACTAGAATAATCCAATTTGGGCAAAAAATACCAATAGTAGATAATTTATTTCAATAATATTATAAAAAAATCACTAGATATAAAATAAAAGGCACTTACAAGAACATTCTGTATTAAAATTTTAACATTTTTTAAAGATTGCATCAAATTTCCGGTGACTGCCAAGGCTTTGACAATTGGATTTTTCTCCGGATGATGACTAATCCCTTTCTTTTATCTTAAACCTATATATATATATATATATATGTGAGAGAGAGAGAGGATAAAGGTTTTGGCTCCAAAATCAAATATATATATATATATATATATATTAAATCTAAACGAATTCACTATTATTATTAAATGTCTTTAAATGCATACCATAAAACTATTATGTATTTACAAATCTAACAGAAACGCTCATATTTAAATGTACAGCACCCAAGATTTTAATATCACATCAAAAACATTAACATTACTGTAGTTTCCAAGTGAAATACATATCTGCTTGTACAGACTTATGAAACCAAGTTATGATAAGTGTAAATATCAAAATTTTAAGGATATATACGTAAAAACATAAAATTTATATGGTATGATTATTATTATCTTATCATCATCGATTATACTGTACTTCTTCTTCTTCGTTAACGATTGTCGCCTACACTTCTTGAAAATTTCTTTTTTTCTTAATTTTCTTAACGTATTTGCTTAAACATTTGCTTTCGTCATTGTGCCTTAATTGAAGAAATTGAAATGGTAATAATGGTGTTATTTCTTAAGAAAGAGTTAGGTTACAATTCCTTTTAAATGGAATTCACATTTGTTTCATATTATAAATTGTAGAGCTACTCCACATAAATATACACGCCACTGTGGTATCTATTGTTGCATGACAAATAGATTGATAAGCACAAGGTCGACTTGAAGTAGGCTATGTGCTCCGCCGAATCAGTCCGACCCTTGTAAGACTTTAATGTAGGGATGTTGAACCTCTCTAGAAGCTCGGCCCCAGAGATTTGTAAATAGAACTCATTCACTAGCTGGCGGGGCATATAAGTACATCAAAATAATGCCTTTCAATTGGTGCCAACCCAGCTCTATCTTAAGTACTGGACGTCTCCGTCTCTATCCAATGCTAAAGGGGCCATTTGACTATGGAGCGCCAGCCCTAACCAATGCCTCTAAAGGATAACATATACAACACAAATAAGTTATAAACTTGTGGCATTTACATGTACCACTCAAATTCTATGCATTTACACATCTAACACCTGACATTTTTTTCTTACAATTATACCAACTAAATCTTTCATGTCAACTAAAAAATATCTTAATTTACAGGCCCTGTCGAGTGAAAGCCACAACTACGGCCTCGGCCAAACCAAGTACATTTTAATCGTCGTCTTCAACACCATCATCACGCAGTGCTTCTTCTTAGGGATGGTGGGCACCATAAAGTACTCAACGGCGCTGCTCGGCGGCGTCATACTCGCCATCTGCATCCCCATTACCGAGTTGCTCGCCGTCTTCTTCTTCCACGAGAAGTTCGACGGCGAGAAAGGCGTCGCCGTCGCTCTCTGCCTCTGGGGCACGGCTTCCTACTTCTACGGCGAGTACAAATCTTACCGCAAAGGCGCGGCCTTGTTCTCGGCCTCAGAGCTTGTTTGAGCGGCCGTCTGATCTCCATTTCGTTGCTGAAACAGAGTTTTTTGGGATGTTGCGTTTAAATGAGCTGATCTAGAACTTGAAGTGGGTCTCTGCCACTTTAAATTAGAAAGCATTTAAATAAATGAATTAAGTGCAATTTGTATATTTTCACTTTGATGCGTTTTACGCTAAATTATGATTGGAAGTGAAAATTCTCTTCTGGTCAATTGTTTTTACATGATCAAACCTGTTTAGCATCGTGGTTGTTTAAACATATTGTAAATTCCGGTGGTGGTCATGTAATTATTGAAAACAAGATGAAAAAATATTACTTAGCTTTTACGGTGAAATCCTATGATCTGTTCTGTTGTCTTCTCTTTCTCCTCCATTTGTTATGTTTCTTTTCCATCGTGAAAAGATCATCATGGTATCAGAGCATTAAGTCTATTGGCACCGAAGATCCTCAAGGACATCATCAATTAGTTATCTGTTCCCCTCCTTCTTGTAGAAACGACATCAGCCTTGGATCAAGTAAATCATGGATTCTTCCTCAAAAATGCTTCCCCAAACCAATCAACAGTCCAGCTCTCTCAACTGAATGAAAGAACTAAATATCCCCACATCTATCAAGTTATGGATGTCTCACATCACGACCATAACAATTCAGCCACTGTCATACAAGGCATATCTGGTTTGGAAGGTACAAATTCAAAAACTCTTCATATTTAATAGTTTCAAATCATTTTTAGATCCAACAACTCCCATACCATCAAGATTCGGCCAGAATGAAATGGGCATACAAGAAGAAAATGCATAATATTTTCTTTGGCAACTTGTTGACAGAAATCTTGCAGTAGATATTCTTTCAACCATATCTTCCTCTATAATACAATATATCATTCATCTCAAAAGCACTGCTAAAATATGAACTACCTTAGAAAGAAGGTTTCAATCAAATAACAGATCAAAAGTCATTCAACTTAAGAATGAACTTCACAATATATCAATGGGAACAAGTAATATAACACAATACCTTACCATTGTCAAAAATACGGCTGACAACACAAATGCGACAAACTCCAAGATCGACAATGAAAACATTATTCTGTACATATTAAATTGGCTACCTCTTAGCTACCAAGCAAAGGTCATTCAACTTAAGAATGAACGTCACAATATATCCATGGGAACAAGTAATATAACACAATACCTCACCATTGTCAAAAAAACGGCTGACAACACAAATGCTACAAACTCCAAGATCGACAATGAAAACATTATTCTGTACATATTAAATTGGCTACCTCTTAGCTACCAAGGGTTCAAGGCTGTCGTCAAAACTCGACTGAACCTAATCATTCTGGAAGCATTTTTGCTCCCTCTTATAAAGTGAGGAGTGCAATCTTGCTAATGAAGCAACCAAGATGTCTCAACCGATTGCTCTTCTCACGCACAAGAGTAATATAATTTAAACCAATCTAAAAACCTAGAACAAGACTTTTTCAAACACCATATAGCAAAATTTTAATAATGTCAAGCAAAGACCATCCATTTTTTGTCAAATATGCTACGAGAAAGGGCACTCAGTAGCTCAATGTTGGCATAGAGCCAAGCTGAATATATGCCTCCAATCACACATGCACCAGCATTTCAGGCTCCATAGTATATTCTTGACACGGGCGTCATAGTCCAGATTACCCCACATATCAAAAAAATGTAATTACCAGTGTCATTTCAAGGTACCAAAAAGGTTGTAGCTGAAAAGGGCAAACCATTGAAATCTCCCACACTAATAAGGGCAGGACACTAAGTTAAATCTTTATCCTCTCTTAGGAGCATCTTATTTTTTCCATAATCTCATTTTTTTCAATAAACTTACCAAGTACAACAATTGCCAAGTTGTCTTTAATGCTAATTGGTTCTACATACATGACTTCAAAACCAAGAAACTCTTTTTGTTAAACACAAAATTGTTGAAATATCTTGCACACTTCTCAACATAGCACACCTTCCACCACACTGTTGGAAAGAATTAATTCTCATAGTAAACTATCTCATTAATCGGTTATACTCTATTACTACTCAAAACAAATCACATTTTCAATTCATACATCTCATCAAACCTGAATATTAACACCTTAAAACCGTTAGATGTGTTTGTTTTCCCTGGCAACAATCATTAGTCCTCTCAACCCAAAGAATCCCACTTGTATATTTTTGAGATACAACTATCATCACAACGGTTATAAGTGTCATGACATCACCACACAAAAATAGGTAATCTCTCACCATGTTTCTCTTATAGAGAACTATTTTCCCTATCAACACGCAACTACACCTTACTCAAAAGAACAAGCAATCACACACACATCTCCCTCACCCTCGATACCCACCTCCATTATCTATCCCTAATCAACCTCTACACAAAATGCACCTACTCGTAATTCACCACAAAACCCCATAATCTCGACTCAAAATGCACACCGGCACCCCACCTCAACACACACAAAATGCTTACCCACTGAGAACACACACAACGACTACTCATACAAAAACTCTTCCACCTGTACCACCAAAACAACATCTTACAACAACCAAATAATAGAATTGGGCTCTCAAACCCATAAATCTCTTTAATCTACAAGACCTCACTACCAATGATGAACTCACAAAATTCACTCAGGCCATGAATCAACCCCACTAGAGATAAGCCATGTCTGATAAATTCATGATCCTGCAACAATAGGGAACATGTACACCTGTACCCTCTCCTCACAATCAACATATCTTAGGTTGCAAGTGGACATTCAAAATAAAAATAACACTAATGATTCCATTGTTAGATACAAAGCTCAAATTATGGCATAAAGCTGCCCTCAACAATAGGTAATGAACTGCCAAGCAATGTTTAATCCTATTGCCAAATTTCCTACCATTCAGATTCTTATCTCTCTTCGTTCCCATAAAAAAATGGAACATTCAGCAACAAGATATCTCCAGTGGCTTTCTTCATGACAAACTTAAAAACACTACTTACATGAAACAACCTCCTCACTTTACAGAAACTCAATACCCTCATCATGTATTTAAACTACATAAAACCATCTATGGGCTCAAACAACCATTCAAACAATGGCACTCCACCTTCTCTCAATTCTTATATATACAAAACTTTAAATTAACCACATTTGACCCTTTTTATTGATGTATCATCATTCTAATAAAAGAATTTATCTTATGGTATTTGTTGAAATTTTTCCTTAGTGATCATCTCCTTAATGCATATTCTTATCAATCAATTTAATTTAAAACAACTATCTCACATTTCTTATTTACTTGGCTTACAAATTCAGCCTACATCTACTAAATACCTCATGCATCAAACCAACTACCTTTCAGATTTACTCACCACCACTAGGATGCTTCACTCCAACCAGTTCTTACTCCTCTTCCTACACATCCTCATCATAATGCAGGCGCATTTACTCTTCTACTTGACCTACAGTAGTATAGAAAACTCATAGGATCACTTCATTACCTCACTACACTCGCTCCAACATCACTTTTACCATTAACTTTCTCAGTCAACATTTGCACAATCCTAACACACTTCACTACCAATATCTAATGCGGCTACTTAGGTACCTCAAAGGTACT